ATGAAAGGTCTGTTTTCTTTCTCTTTTCTTTTGTGTGTGTTTGTTGGGGGGTACTGGGGATTGAATCTAGGAGAACTCTACCATTGAGGTGCATTTCCAGCCCTTCTCTTATTGTTTTAAGACAGGGTCTCACTAAGTTGTGATGCTGTTCTTGAACTTGCAATTCTCCTACCTCAGCCTCCAGAATATCTAGGATTGTCTGCATGCACCATTGCTCCTGGAAGGTCCTTTTTATTAAAACTATTATAGTCACCTCACCAAGGGTACCCTCAGACCTTAGCACAGTGCTATAGAAATTAGAATGTTGGTTATATTACAAGCGAAATGTATAGACTAAATGAGCAGTTGTTGAAATTATAGAAAGACATAAACACAGATATATATATATATGCTATTTTTTTAGAAAACTCGTTGTAACAAGTATTTAGTACATAACACACAAGTTTATGCTATGCCACTATCAATGTTGGAGTCTGATGATAGAAAAAATGTTTTTTTTTTTCTTTGTGTATTTGCTTTGATTTCCCAGTCCATGGCTATTTCTAGGCTTGACTTTGCTCACCATCTTCTTGGCTTAGAATGCCCCCTCTCCCCAAGAGCCACACCAGTGCCCCATCTCACTTAGTGACCCTCAATTATCATTTAAAGCTTCACTTAATTGTCTCCTGTGGTCCTCCTTCTGCTTTCCAAGGGTTTCTTTCCCCTATACTGTATTCTTATAATAACTCATAATGTTTATGTCATTGCTGCTGTACTGTTGAATTAATATTATTTTCTTCTATGTAACCACCCTTCCTATCCCAGTTGGTGGAATGTAAGCTTCCTGAGGGCCAGGGCAGTATATTCATCTTCACTTCCTTAGGAAATAATAAGTGTTCAAGTAATTATTAAAAGAATGAAAACATTTTATTGTCATTTCTCTAATTTTAAAGTGAAGAAAAAGTAAAAAAGAATTTATATTTTACTTTAAAATTTTACTTTTCATGTTTTTTATACATATTTTTGTAATGTATTTATACTTCAGTTTTCTTCTCACAACTTTCTTGGTGTTGAACATTGAGTTTCAGACTGTTTAAAAAGCTAAATTGTTATTGACACATACACAAGGAGAAAAACAAATAAAATTGTTTTGTTGGGAGCAATTATATTTTGACTTAGTCATCTACATTTTCAATTTTTCAATATTATACATAGAAAAAGTTTAAGTTTTATGTAAGAGAATACCATAGGCCTTCTTTCCAACTTATTATTTCCCACACCTTTATTATAATAATGTTGAAGAGTATGCTTGTAAAACTTTTAGGAAAAAAAGCAATGGAATTATGAAAATATCAATGCTCTTTATCTCTTATTTATCCTTTGATAAATCATCATGCTTTTCATAATGATCACTGATAGATGTAATGAAAGTCAATACAAGCATCCTTAGATCTGAAGATATTATGTTAATAAATAAAATACCTTGTCTAGTTTACTAGATTTCAAACTTTTTTCATTATTGTACAATTATTTGAATCAAAAGATCCCATAGTTCATCTCTCCTGACGTTTCCCTGATACAAAAGATTTCATTGATAACAAAGAAATGGAGGGGAAATGTAAAATAACAACAACATAAGTATACAATGACAAAATAAAAGAGTAGTAATTCTGCAAATATACTCCTTATTATAAGAGTAGAATCTGTAGTAAACTACAACAAATGTAAGACTGTGAATGGTGCATTAATTACAAGAATGTCTCTTTGGAAAATTATAATAATTTCAACTATCTTGATAAAAAAAAAAAAAAAACCACAATAGTAGTTTTGCAAAGTTACCCACTGGTTGAATCAAGTACTCACACTATTGACAGAATACTGAATTTAAATATTTAGAATGTACCAGTTTATCAAGCATGAGCTCTACCACTGAGCTGTATCCCTAACACATTGAACTTTAGAATTTGTTTATGGACTCTCTAGATTACCAGCAAGCCTAAATTTTATGTAAAAATTTAAATATATGTATAATAATCACATTTATGTCCTTTCATGATCCCCTAAAGTACTTTCATGAGGGTAACATGAAGTGCTACTTTGATCTACACTAAATTTGTGTCATACTTATCCTTTAACCCTATAATGTTGTCTATCTGGTCTTAGCAGGTTTTAGCTACGAAGATTCTAAAGAATCTTACAAATTGCTTTAACTCAGTGAAGTTATTTTTAAAAGATTTCTACAACATACTGATTAAGTGAAACACTTTAATATATTCTTCTTACATCATATATTTTGATGACGTTTAAATAGTCATATAGAATTTCTCTTGTTTCCCACTTTTTAGGTACCATTCTATACATATTAAATTATTTTATATATTACTTATTGGGTATAAGTAGCATGTTTTAATATAACTTCTTAAATAATGAAGATTGATGTTAACAGTATCGATGATTTCCTGCATACTTTTAAACTATTGCATGATGTATATACACCTGAGCAGATTTATATAATCATAAGCCATTCACACAAACTAACATTTCTTCTTGTACAACTATAGGATTCTTTTTGCTTTAATTTTTCTATCCTTTTTTCTCATATTTTTTATTGGTGCATTACAGCTGGTCATAATGATGGGATTTGTTGTTACATTTTTGTACATGCACACAATATAACAATGTAACTTGGCCAATATCACTCCCCAGTGCTGTGCCCTTCCTTCCTCACCTCATACCCCTTGAACCCTTTCCTCTACTGTTCTCCCTATGATTTATTATGAGATCTGCCCTGTCTGATTTTTAAGGGATGTTGAAGATTGGATGCAGAGCCTTATACAGCTAAGCACACACTTTTCCCCTGAACTATATCCCCAGTCCTCTCTGGGATCATTTCTTATGTCTGATAAGAAAGAGAAATTTGAGAGTTATAGAGTGTTCACATGTCAAAATTTCAGACACTGGTATTCAATATATAATCTCAGTGGTAGTAGTTTATAGGGTGATAATCATTTTTATAGCCTTGTTATTAAACATCACTTTTCCATTAGGTATTTTCAATATGTTCAAGATGTGATTGTACATAATTTATATAACTACTTTATCTACTTATTCATTTGTAACATTCACTTCTGATATAAATACTAAAACCTGGAGGTTTTCACTTAGCGAAGGGAAAACACACTTGGCTAAGAGTTTTAGTTGTGCTTTGAGCTCTCCATTCCATTGACTCTTTTTTTTTTTTTTTCTTCTGAGAGGGTGGGTACCAGGGATTGAACTAAGGGGCACTCAACCATTGAGCCACAGCCCCACCCTATTTTGTATTTCATTCAGAGACAAGGTCTCACTGAGTTACTTAGTGCCTCACTTTTGCTGAGGCTGGCTTTGAACTCCTAATCCTCCTGCCTCAGACTCCAGAGCCACTGGGATTATAGGTGTGCACCACCATGCTGGGCTCCATGTACTCTTAAGAGGGAGTTTACAAAGTGAAGATAGAAGATATTCCTATTTGTGATCATGTGCTTTATATTGATTTACCTTACAAAAAACGAAAAAAAAAACACTTCTTAAATAATAATACTATTATTTATTTGAAAATAATGAGGCAGGTTAAAGTTTGGGTGGACATCTATAGAATGTCTCTGAAAAGTGGGCCTGTATACAAACAGTCATTACTTTTACATTGAGCATGTGCATACCTAATGTGCAAATAAGTTACAATCCTGTTTTAGCTTGTTAATTTAAAAAGTTAAAGATTGAGCTAGGTTTGTGGTTCAGTGGTAGAGTGGTTGCCTAGCATGCATGAGGCACTGGGTTCTATCCTCAGCACCACATAAAAATTTAGAAAAATAAAGGTGTTATGTCCACCTACAACTAATAAATATTTATTAAAAAATTATAAAGATTATAACCTGGGGGCTGGGGATATAGCTCGGTTGATAGAGTGCTTGGCATACATACACAAGGTCCTGGGTTCAATCCCTAGCACCAAAAAAAAAAAAAAAAAAAGATTATAACCTGGAAAGTTATGCCTATTTGTCTTTTAAAAATATTTCCCAAACCTTTCTTACAAATTGGTGTATATTCCTATCTTCTTATTACCTAGGGCTATCAAATTTGTCCAAGTGATCATGGGGTATTAGTCTCTATATCTTTTCACATCTTCAAAGTGTTAACAATTTGATACATTCTTATACAATGTATTTGGAAAATCAGCATGTACTTTCAGAAAAGGAAAACACTAGAAACTGAACAGTAATTTGCTATTCTGTGAATGGGGAGGAAAAATTTTTATCATGTATTTAGTGGGAAGATGAAGATAACTTTGAGGGCTGGGGTTTTGACTCAGTGGTAGAGCGCTCCCCTAGCACAGGCGAGGCCCTGGGTTCTATCCTCAACACCACATAAAAACAAACAAACAAATAAACAAATAAATAAATAAATAAATAAAAGATATTGTGTCCAACTACAACTAAAAAGTAAATATTTTTAAAAAATCGCTTTGAAAGAAGGAGTTATATTAGGGATAAAATTTTTATAAGGCTTTAGCAACTTTAAATATTCACTTAGTTCACTTTGAATTCACTAATATTTAGTAAATTTATTTACTAGTCACTTAGTTTACTAAGTGCTAAACTAGGCACTTGCCTATGAGAACTTAGAGTATGATTTCAGGCTCATAATAAACACTCTTCAAATTCCTATTAAGAAACTTACAGAAAAAAATAATAGAGCAAATCTTAGACTTAACCAGTCAAATGAATCAGTAGATCAGAAGGGTGACAATTTTTACAAGTATATTTCCTTAGAGATACTTCTTAGGGTCATGAATTTAAGTCAAGTTCTGAAGAAAAGGATGAATTAGTAGGAAAAATTAGGGAGTTGCAATCAGGTGCAGATGGAGTATATTAATTGCTTCTTGCTTCAATGATTCAAACTTACGTTTAAATACATCTGTCAGACGAGACCACTAAAAATGTTTATGGTAAGATCTATTTCCTTTTTATTTTGTTTCAAAATTACAGTTGAAATCTGGAGAGACAGCTGCCAATATAGCTAGAGAGCTAGCTGAACAGACCAGGAATCACCTGAATGCTGGGGACATTACCTACTCAGTCCGGGCCATGGACCAGCTGGTAGGCCTCCTGGATGTCCAGCTCAGGAACTTGACACCAGGTGGAAAGGACAGTGCTGCTCGAAGTTTGAACAAGGTAAGGATATCAGCTAGTCAACTTTTAAAATTGTAATAAAATCAGTAAGACTTCCTTTCTTAACTTTTCTTTCTTCTGTAGAGTCAGATAATGCTAAAGAGAATCAATAACTATATTCAAATGACTTCACTATTTTAATAATGACACTATTTGGGTTTTAATTTAAAGAAACAATGAATGATAATACCTCTGCATATATTTTGAATTTACTTTTTCCATAGTAATTGCTCTGCTTTGCACGCTAAATTCTGGCAAGATTACTATGGATAAATGCAATTTGTTTCTTCTCTTTTTGCCTTCAAACTTTCATATTAAAAATTGACAATAAAATAAGTGTCTAATCAATAAGTAGAAATTTAGAAAATAACAATGAAAGCGAACTGATAATCCATATAGCTGTTTTAAAATGAGGTAATTTTACCTAATTAATATTAATTTTGAAAATAGGTGGCAAACAATTAAGTGGTAATTTTTACTTTATTTTGATTTTCATATTACTTGGATTGTGCATCACTGTCATTAAAAATTTTAAAGTACGTTTTAGCAAATTTGTTTGAATTGTAATTAATGAAAAATAATTACATCTTAAATTTAAGGAAAATATACTTTATAAATTTTATTAGTATTTATATAAAGCGTTTTGTTTATGATACCAAGAATATTATTGATTTACATAACAAAATATCACATGGTAAAATAACTTCCTGATGAAAAAAATATTAGAATTGCCACCATCAAATGACAATGTTTCTTGAATGGCATTTGTGTAGTAGAGATTCTTAATGATTGAATTTAGGGCCTTGAGTATTAAGATATTTTCTTTCTACTTAAAGGTAAGAATTGGACTGTAAGAGACTAATTTTCCTCTGTGATATTCACTACAAGGACATTCCCCTTTAGATTGAAAAATGATTTTGTAGAGTTGTATTTTAATGCATTTTAGTTCTTTTCATTATTTTAGTCTTACTGAGTTAAGACTGTTACTCAAGAAGATGGAAGAAATTTTTAGAATAATGATTGTTCAACATAGAAAAGCCAGATATTTTACCTGGGAAATGGTTTGTCCTGCATTTTTATCTTCAGAAAACGGTGCAATTTTATCTATTAGATATAAATTATTTAAGTTTTTTTTTTTTTTTTCACAAAGGAGTCATTTTTTTCTCACATATATCCTGATGGAATCACAACCAGATCCCTGATAGAATAATCCACAGCTGCCTGTATAATCTGAGCATGCTGTGTTTTAACGTGTTATTACCCAGGCTGACTGATGCTATTAATGAATATTGCTGCCAGCTATTGTTATCATAATGCACTGAAAGTAGTGATTTCTATTAATGTTACTGGTCCATAACATGACTTGTTGTAGTGATACTTTGTATCTTTATTTAAAAATGGTGTTGGTGTCTGAGGATATCAAGTACAGCTGGCAATTAATGTCACATTCTAACTGGCTACAGCTAATCAGCTTGCCTCTTCTGAATATCAAATAACTACATAATGGGCAAATTTCCATTTGTGAGGCTTTTTAATGCTCTCCTTGTTTCCCATTTGGCTCTTTTCAATTGTTTATATAATGTGGTTTGTCTTATGTTAATTTGCATGAAGGGGTAAGGAGATGGGAGGGCAAAGGTTATTCACGTGCTTGCTGGCTTGCTCTCATGTCCTGTGGTTCCCACTTTCCCTGAAGCAGTTATAACCCATCAGTTTTGCAAAGTCAACTTGGTACAAATCAATTGTGCTCCACATTGAAATTCTGGAGGGTCCAGAGTCCTGCAAAACCGTGATTTGAGTCAGTGATCCAGATGACAGCATTGGCAATTTACTTGCACTTATTCCTCATTAAATCTTTAGAGGGCTAGGGATGTGGCTCAAGCGGTAGCGCGCTCGCCTGGCATGCGTGCGGCCCGGGTTCGATCCTCAGCACCACATACACACAAAGATGTTGTGTCCACCGAAAATTAAAACAATAAAAATAAATAAAAATAAAAAAAAAAAAAAAAAAAAAAAAAAAAAAAATAAATCTTTAGAGGAGCAAGTTCCGTGCTCCTTGAAGAATGCATGAATTAGAGTGGGGAAAGTATTAGCTACACAAAAAGCCATCACAGTAACTGCTTCTTAAACCTGGGTCATTTCCTTTTTCAATAATCAAGGATACTGAAGAGGGAAGAGAAACAGTAGGAAAAATGGGGAAAACCCACAGTCTAATTTAATAAAATTCTGGGTCAACTATAAACAGGGTGAATAAATCATTATTGATTATTCATTTTAGCACCAGGAAAAAAAAAATGCTTGGGACTGATACAAGTTACTGTCAACTTTTGCCCGGAAAAACATAATTTTATATTCAAACAAACAAAAGCAAACAACAGGGTTCTTTTCCCACCAAAGTTTCTAAAGTGTATAATTTTTTTGGTCAAAATTGTCAAAAGACATTCTTCAAGAAATAAAAGAAGTGACTAGTCAAAAGATTAATTATATTCTTTTTATCAAAAGTTATTTATCTCTTGGTATTTGTCCCTTAGAATTGAATAGTCATAATGAATAGGCATTTATATTTTGCCAGTAAACAGAATTTTTGTATGTATAAATGAACATCTAATAAGTTGTACATATTAATCATCTATTTTCTGAAAACCACAAATAATCTGCTATCTTTAAAAAAAAAAAAAAGGGGAGGGGGACTCCAAACTTTTGACATAATTTACTTAACTTCTTATGTCTTAATTTGTGGCCCATGAACTAATAACTAACCTGATGTGAAATGGATCATTTCAAATAAATAAAGTATATTATGTTGGTTTTTACTAATTTCTACTAAACATATTCCGAAGTCTCTTTCTATCATTAACAGCTTTATACCATCCAGTTCTCACTGGGGTTATTCTGAAAGGGTATTGGCTACTGTATTTCAAGCCACTGGTTACATTTTGCTACTGCTTAGCTTTCATTTTCTTCTAGAAAGTAGTGGGGGGGAAAATAAGGTGTTTTGTGTAGATGTGTTCTTTTATTTTTCTTGTTTTCTTCTGTCACTAACTTGTTTTTTCTATTCTGTGTTTAATCTGCTGTCTTAATGGATTCAGCTTCAGAAAAGAGAGCGCTCTTGCAGAGCCTATGTCCAGGTACTTTCTGCGTTTTTATAAATGTGTTAAGTTGTTGAATTGTCTGTGTTGGTGATGGCATGTATTGACATCTAATAGAAAAATAATAGCCTACCATATTGAACTAAAGGAATTTCAGGGAGGGTGTGAAGGGTGGGAATGGAAAGACATAAGAAAGTATATGTGTTAAAAAGAAATCAGCAGTGCCAATGTTCTGTCAAACAAGAGGAACACAGACTAAGAAGGAGGTTGCAACTTGAGGTGTGAACATACTGATCATCACTAAGAGGTGAGTTGGGTGCAATATACAGATCTCTAGTTTTGCATAGAGGTAGGTATGAAAAGATTCCATTCATACATTGAGTAACAAGTCACTCAAAAAATATGCTCAAAGGCATGTACGACAAAAAAAGAATCCTACTTGGAATATTATGCTTTTGTTCCAAACTGGAACTATTTATTGACTCAAGGCATGCTTGTGACTGTCTTACCCTATCATTACAAAAATGTTAATTCCAATGAAAATTTAATTTTTATCCAGCTAATGTGTTTTAATTTGCTTCCGAGAAAACATTCCAATTATTTGTAGGTTTTATGTAAAAGAGAACAATTCCAAGAGCAAGCTTCCAGGTTTTTTGTTTTTGTTTTTTTAAATAAGGAAATAGGGTAGGAAGTACTGAAGTATGGAACTGTGCGACTGTTAACTTGATTCTTTATGTATACGTATCAACAATGTGCATATATAAAGAATAGCCCTGAATGGTTAATGGTTGTAAGATTGACAGATTAAAGCTAAACCTTATCAATTTTATTGACAACTGAATATAATATAGGGGTATTGACTTTGTTTAAAGCAAAACTCTGAAGAGATTAGGTTGATGTAGATACTAAATTTCATTTTTTTTTCATTTGTATATTTCCAATGATCTAAATAGCTCCATATCCAATCTTTTGGGGTAGTATAGAACTAATAATTGAATTTGTATTTAGGAAGTCAATTACTGATCATAAAACCATAGCAAAAAGAACTGGATGGCATTGGGGGAAAGTTTAGTTTGTAAAAAGCATAGTACCATAAACACTTTAATGAATGGAGCTATCTCTGTGTACTATATATTATTATTTACTTAATTCCGGTTGGCAAATTCTTTTTCTTACAGCTGTACCATTTTAAATTTAATATATGAAATCCATCATTTCTTCAAAAGTATTAGTGAACAAGAACAAAACAGTCCCTGTCCTAGGATGTAACTCTCCAGTAGAACATACTGGTTGATCAATGTTAGTGCATTAGCACTTCAGATTGCATAAAGTATTGTTGAGTAGATTAGACTTTCTTTAGCTATATTTTAGTACTGATCACTTGAATTTTCCATGTCTCCTCAGCAACACAAGAACCCATGACAAGTGCACCCTATAAGTCATTTAATTTGTAGAGGTCCAAACTCTTACAGCATCATTTGATTATATAGGGGAGGAAAGTTGATTTTTTAAAAAAATATTTTTTAGTTGTAGTTGGACTCAATACCTTTATTTTATTTATTTATTTTTATGTGGTGCTGAGGATGGAACCCAGGGCCTCACATGTGCTAGGCAAGCACTCTACCACTGAGGCACAATCCCAGCCCAGATTTTTTGTTGTTGTTGTTTTTCTTTACCCATTCATCCCTAGTCTCATTGCTAGGGCCTCTCTAACAAAAGATAGATTAACAAGGAAACATACAAATTTATAATTTTTACCTGACACAGGAGCCTTTGGTAGTGAAGACCTAAATAAGCGGGGAAACCTGTGGGGTTTTATTTTGTTGTTTGTTGTTGTTGTTTGTTTGTTTGTTTTGAAGTGCTGGGAATCCAGGACGCAGGGCCTCACACATTCTAGGCAAATAAGTGCTCTAGTGCCGAGGAGCTGTTTTCCCCAGCCCTCCTGTGCATTTTTGTTTTGTTTTGTTTGGCTTTGGTTTTGGTTTTAATGCTATGTTTGCTGGAGAGTAGACAGTCCTGGAGATGTCTGATTGGACTAAGGGAGTGTGAGCTAATGTCACTAAATTGAAGGGAACTCAGGCAAGGACCCTTTCTGCAAATTCTTCTGGCATCTCTGTTTTGAGCTCTTTTCTTGGGATATAGTGAGGGCAGCTCCCAAATGAAGATATTACGACCTGCTTCAGAGAAAGGTCAGAAAATTCTTTCTTAGTTTTATGAGCTGCTTCAGGGAAGAAGGACAGGGGGAAGGTGAAAGTAACCTTTCTACCTCTGCTCTCTTCTCAAATGCCAGGGTGCATTTGGGGGTAGCATATTCCTGAACCTCAACAATTCTTCTACTTTTACTCTCAGGATTTTTTTTTTCTTTTTAAGCAGAGTGAGAAATTAAAAAACAAAAAACAACAACAAAATGCACAGATTTGAAAAATAATAGTACTTTGTGTCTGTGGGTGGGTTTTATTCTGGATTTAAAGTCATTTAGAACAATAAGGACATTTTGTGAAAGTCCTTTAAAAAATAATTTGAACATCACAGAGACTGAGAAGATAAAATTTTAAAATTGTAATTTGTATTTTACCTTATAAAATAATGAATCTTTGTATATAAGAAGTTGTTAAGATTTGTTTTTCTAAGGTTTTAGAAAAGAAAATACTGTAGGAGATGTGTAAGTGTGTGCGTATGCAAGTGTGTGTGTGTGTGTATGCTCAGTGTGAACAATAGGTAAAGAAATTATTCTTCAGAACTAGAAGCTGAATATCATTTTCGAGCAATATTAGGATTGTTTTTTATTGCAATCCATGCCATCCATTTAATGGGGCCTCTGGGATAATTAGCCTTTCGGTATTTAAATCTATGAAATGCATGGTCATTCAAACATGAATCTCTGATGGAAAATTAATAGCACAGTTTATTCAGTGGCTGATTTCCTGGTGTTATAATTGACTGGCTGTGAATAAATATTTCAGCGATTGACTAAATATCTGATAAGACCAAATACAAACACAATATTGGTGAAGGGGAAACGCTGTGCTCAGTAACACACCAAACTACTTCTGATCTTTTTTATGTACTTATCACTCCATGAAAATTTCACAGTGAAAAATACTTTAAACACTAATCTATCTGAATGGTAAAGACTAGTTTTATGTTTCCTATTGTTTTTATGTTCAGAGCGCATTTAGAGCTCTCTGTGAAACAGGTATTGGATACATCTGAAGGGCTTCAGGCATTAAATTTAAAATTATTAATCATCGTGTGTTTCTTTTTTTAAAAAAATGGCCTTTCCAGTGCATAATCAGTGATTCATCTGGGATCAACTTTAACCATCTGTATCCATTTGATTTTCAAAGATATAGTGGTTCAGTGTCTATTTTTATGAATCATCTACATTCATGTTTAGATCTTTTTTTTTTTGCTTTCTACTTTTTGTTTGTTTCATATGCAAATAAAATCACAGTAAAATCTGAACTATCTACTACCAATTATGATAACTGATCTGTAGGTGAACAACTAAAAAGTGGTTGGTACGATTTTTAAAATTATATGGAATCAGTTAAGACTATCACATTTCCATTCCCAGAGTTTCAATTTAAAAAAAATGTGTTAAATATATTTATTTTTCTTCATTTATTTGTAATTTATATTACATTGGATTCCTTGTTGAGTACTGAAACTTGGAAATCATTGTATCATAGTAAAACATACCATCACTGGATCTTGGTAACAATGCATGTATTTTAGAAGTTGTAAGTTTTATGCCAGAGACAAAGAGGGCTGTGTCAGCCATGAATATTGAACAACTACTATGATGGAGTGTTGCCAGAAAGGACAGAGTTGGCTGAGACTTGGAGAAGAGAAAATAACTGGCCCAAGAACCCATGACTGGCACTGATGACATTGTCAATGCTGCCCTGAATGCATTCCCAACTTCCTCAACACCAGGATTAAGAATAAATATGATTTGTTATTACAAATAAATATTTTTACTGGGCACTAATTATTTGGCCATCACTGTGCAGATCCATTGGAGAATGTTCTTATTTAATATTTATAACAACAGTCTGGTATACATATTGCAATTCTTAACTTACAGAAGTGAAAATGGTGGCCCAGTGAGAACTAAATAACTTTCATAAGATCATACACTAATAGTTGAGGTGCCCTGCATTCAAAATAGTCCTGATTCCAAAGCTGATGCTCTCAACCACTGTGATACTTCTACAGCAGGGCTGGCCTCATTATTTGATAATAGGAGGCAAGATATATCGTTTGTTTTATAAATTGATTGGGGTTTTTTTGGTGCTATATTTTAGAGATGACACAAAGAAAAACAATTATTTTTGTCTGCTTGAGACTAAGTGCCAATGGCTGTGTATAATTATTCTGTTCTGTTAAATTAAGGTCATATGCAAACATGATTTGCTTTCAGATTCTTTTAGAGGAGACTCTGATGGAAAAAGTTATCATCTTGAGAATAAGAGAAGCAAATAGAAAGTATAATAACTCAGTGTCAAAGAAGGAATTATCAAATTGTTTCCCAAAGTGGCTGTAACATTTTACATTTCCACTAACAATGATATGCATGTTCCAGTTTCTTTACAACCTCACCAACACCTGTGTTTTCTGTGTTTTTTAATACAGCCATTGTAGTACATGGGAACTGTAAAAGTTCTTAATTGTGGTAATGGGTTGGTCATGGGTTGCAGGCTGGGGAATATTTGAGAGTGTAAATGAAGCAGTATAAAACCATAGGGTTCCAAAGAGACATCTGTGGTTTCAGTGAGAATCCAGGAGTAGAGTTAAACCTCAAACAGCTTAAGAACAACTGCTATCATGTTGTATAAATGTACAGGACTTTGCCGTTTTTTCTCCCCAACTTTAAATAGAATTGCCATCCTTTAATTAGCGATGTTTATTAATAATGTTCACCAAGAACTATTAAAAATTACTCGTATTCATATATTATTGTTTCAAAATCAGGATTTTTTTTTTAGTTAAGAAACATATTTTTATTTTTTCAGTAGTTTTGTTTTTCTTATGTC